ACAGGAAGAAAACGGCCAAAGTTAACATAGGGACAAAAATAACAGACAGAGAACGGTCCAGACGGACGGAAAGAAGACGGAGGATGAACCTTAGAGATGGAAAAAAGGTTTGTTAACCGTATTGATCATCAATAGTTGTTACTGCGAAGGCAACTTCTTTTTACTTTTGTTTGGAACACAGCGGCTTTTCTGGAAGTATGTAAATGGGTAACTAGTTTCAGTGTGAAATTCTTTCCCTTTTGGTTCATGTTTGTTTTCAAGCTAAAAAGATCAGCAATAAACCGGGATACTAAAATAAGAATGGATTGGCGGTGATTTTAGAATTAAGCGATACACTAACATCGGTCGCCAAAATTTTAGAAAATTCCTGTGGAAAAAGGCCATGCATGGGTATGAATATAACTAATTCGGTGTATGTATTTTTGGACGTGATTCCTTACCACCTACTTGACGTAGGGTAAATGCTTACCTAGTGAGTTAGGGCAAAAAAAAACTGTTTTGGTTCCACGTAGACAGGCTAGTACAAAACGAATTTGATTGTTTAGGGGTTGGGGTTAGGGTAGAGTTGTAGTTAGGGCTATGGATAACTTCGAGGTTTTGGTTAGGGTTTGGGTTAGGATTAAGGTTTATGTATAAAACGTTTTGTTCGGCTTGAAAAAACCACTCAAAAACCATAGTTCGTTATATTTATGGGCGAGGATTAGTAAGAGCCGGAATTGAGCCCACTCACTGTATGATACTGTAAAGCGCGAGAGAAGTGTCCATTGGCTATAACCATCTCGATGGGGAGACTCATCAAGCAGGACTGTCGAAATAGTGAAGCGATTGTACTACTGGCGTGATGAAACTCTTGAAGATACGGATTGACTTTACTAGAAAGTTCTTATTATGGGTATAGAGAACCCGTTTGTAACCCTAAATTTGGTGTCAAGAAACAGCAATATTTATTTATTTTCTTTAAGCGATTTTTGACTCAAGGGTTTGTCGAAACTAAGCACGTGTCGAACTTAGAGTGCGTGTCGAACTTGGGGGGGGGAGTACGTGACCCAAACAGAGAAATATTAAATAAGAATGGTTTTGGGTTTGTAACTTTCCATGTACTTATACCCATGGTGCTCTAACAACAATCATGCTATCTATAGTCTCGAACATTCACCAAAGCCCAGAACAGCTTTAACAGAGAAACAATGATGCAGTCCGTTTCTTGATGGGCGATATCTCTGCAAGATAGGTCACCCCAATCGAGTAGTACCTTGTAAGATGGATGTTTACTTTTGTTACGTTCTCAGAGTTACCCTCCACCCTGCAACCCAGAACAGAATCAGTAATGATTGCGAAGATATAAAGAAAACTTACCTGAACCGATGAACATTCCAGTGATTCCATTATGGCAAGAGAAAGGCAAGTATCCATTAGCGGTAAAATAAAATTTAAAAAATCCGACCTCCGCCTTGTCACAAAATATTAATTTCTCTTTTAAACTAATAGCAAATAATTTAAACATTAAGATTCTAACCAGCCAGGTAGTTAAAACTGCAGGGGAGGTATGCAATGTGAGAGCCAAGCTCACGAGATTTGTCGAATTAATTTATTATGTTATACTCATTTTGTATCATTTCCTTGTAGCCCGATGCAATCATTGTTTAACTTGAACATTTATGAAGAATTATGTAATTACAGAAAGTGTCATTTCCTTGTAGCCCAATGCTCCAATGGAATTGTTTAACTTGAAGATTTATGAAGAATTATGTAATTACTGAGAGTAGCAGAAAACTTTTAAGTGTGGCTCGAAAGCACAACAAGACCAAACATAAGTTTAGAAAAACGTAAATCTAGATTTGTAGAAATCGGGGGTTTAAACCAAAGATGATGCACAACTCTAAAACAACTATGGCTAGAGATTTGGGTCTGGGTATTATATAGGTGAGGGCATTGCATGCAGGAGAGGGACAAATCTTAATATGCTAAACTAATGAAATGCGCCCATTAAAATAGGATAAACTATGCTCATCCACATGGGACTCAGTGTCTTAACGTTGACCGTTTAGAACTGATTTACTCTGCCAACACGAAGATTTTTCCGAAAGGGGTTAGTTTCGGGTCCGGCCGGCATTGCATGCAGGAGAGGAACAAATCTTAATATGCTAAACTAATGGTAAGCGCCCATTAAAATAGGATAAACTATGCTCATCCACATGGGACTCAGTGTCTTAACGTTGACCGTTTAGAACTGATTTACTCTGCCAACATGAAGATTTTTCCGAAAGGGGTTAGTTTCGGGTCCGCGGCTGGCATGCAGGAGAGGGACAAATCTTAATATAAATCAAGAGGCTTGCATATAATGAACATATTGACACGGGTGCAGAGTTGAGTCTGTACGGAACCTAGTAGTTTCAGATCCTTGTTTAACTTGCCGTACAGCAAGGTCATCCACTACTTTAGCCCGGCGAGGCACATAACTCCCTCTACAACTCCATGACAAATGTTTCATATATACTAGCCGAGTTCACAAGAATATATCCTTGTGTTTGAGAAGAGCTCGTTAGAACTGCTTCCTTTCCCTTCAGTATCCCACAGTCTCTCGAGTTTCGTAACTGCCAGAGAACTCTCTTAAACAATTACTAGACTCGGTGATTATAAATCAAGAGGCTTGCATATAATGAACATATTGACACGGGTGCAGAGTTGAGTCTGTACGGAACCTAGTAGTTTCAGATCCTTGTTTAACTTGCCGTACAGCAAGGTCATCCACTACTTTAGCCCGGCGAGGCACATAACTCCCTCTACAACTCCATGACAAATGTTTCATATATACTAGCCGAGTTCACAAGAATATATCCTTGTGTTTGAGAAGAGCTCGTTAGAACTGCTTCCTTTCCCTTCAGTATCCCACAGTCTCTCGAGTTTCGTAACTGCCAGAGAACTCTCTTAAACAATTACTAGACTCGGTGATTATAAATCAAGAGGCTTGCATATAATGAACATATTGACACGGGTGCAGAGTTGAGTCTGTACGGAACCTAGTAGTTTCAGATCCTTGTTTAACTTGCCGTACAGCAAGGTCATCCACTACTTTAGCCCGGCGAGGCACATAACTCCCTCTACAACTCCATGACAAATGTTTCATATATACTAGCCGAGTTCACAAGAATATATCCTTGTGTTTGAGAAGAGCTCGTTAGAACTGCTTCCTTTCCCTTGCTAAACTAATGGTAAGCGCCCATTAAAATAGGATAAACTATGTCCCTGAACTATGTCACTGAGTCCCGATATACTCATCCACATGGGACTCAGTGTCTAAAAGGTCAACGTTAGAACTGATATACTACTACTATGGACACCACCACACTAGCACCTTTCTTCGCTATTCGACAAGTTGGATTTGAAGCCCAACACCAGTACGACAACTCCACTACGTGCCTCAGTTTCTAAGCACCGCCGTACGCTGTGTACCAGAAGGGACAGTGGTTCGTCCTAAACACGCCCAGAGGGTGCCCGACTTTCGGACGAGCTATGAAGTGCACCAGAGAGTCCTACATCTCCACTCCCATGGGACTCTTACTGCGCACGAAAGAGAAGAACATACAACTCGCCACCCAGAAATCAGCAGCGACAGGCGAACACCATCCACACCGACAAACCACGTCCGAGGTCTCGGCAATCGACATGCCGATTGCCGACCTACCAAATAGTGTTCGTAGAGTGGACCGTTAACGTAACTAGCTTCCGTTTCGGTCAAACTATCGTTCACGCGCCGAACCAAATCGAACCCAACGGTATTCTATACCGCAAACCGCCGATGGGGCTACCCTTCCTGAGTCTCTTGGAAGCTCTGGCCATTCCTGAAGTGGGAACCGACAAGTTAGTGGAAACCACCGACGCCGCTCCAGGAACCACGTTACAAACGCTTAACGAGACGAGTATCTAAGCATTATATGTCACTGCGTGTTCGAGATCGAACTTATTATACTACGTAACACTGATTTAAATTTTAAGCACTAACTTTAACGCAATTAACTTTTTAATAACTTCAACGACCCCACTTTTGGGGCTAACTATATGAATGTTAAGCACTCACGTCACTTCGAGTCGTAGTTGGCGGGGCGGGAGTCTCCACTCAGGAGGACTCTTGCTTCGTCGACTGCGATTCAGGGTATATGATCGACCCACTCACAAGAGCAAGAAACAGATTATCACTTAACTGTCACAAAATTAACGTTTTAATAACTTAACGACCCCACTTTTGGGCTAAACATATTATCTTTTTAAATCCAATCTCGCAGTTTTTGCAAGAGTAACCCAATCAATGTCTGGAAGGCTGCAAATTTTCACATGCCAAATCCCTAAGATTCTTAAAGAGTTGTGCGAGATGACGATACATAGAGGCCGCAGAATTATGAGGACTACCAGATCCTGGTGGAACCTAAGCGATCCATGATATCACGACAGGCCCTATTGGACTCCCTACAACACAAAATTTCACGAAGATCATGCGTGCGCTTACATTAAAACGTATGATAGTAAACGAAGACCTTTATATTGCGATTTGTTATTTCCTTACACTATTACTAATTAATATTTCTATTTTAAGCACCAGCCACCAGATAATAATTTAAAGGCGTCCACGGACGCCTGGACGCCCTCAATAGTCGCCTCTGAGTAAATTGATAGTCATAATTAAGGAAAATACGTGAAAAATAATTTGGGGAAAATAATTTGATGGTGACCTAAATTTTGGTAGTCCGAAAATATGGTGTTTTTTTTCGAAAAACCTACGACTTTCGTTGTTCGTACCATTTAAACATGTGTCGTAAGGTAGATCACATTTGGTCCAACTTGCATTCAAAGAAATGGAGTAAGTACGGTCGATTACATTTGCGTGTCCCACAGCCTTCTTCATCGGGCAAGGTTCTTCAAAGTTGGTGACCTCACCCCTTATTCTGACCACAGACCAATATCCACCACTTTAACTACTAAGTACTAACACAAGGAACATTGTGATGGCTGGCGACATCTCGAATGAAATGGAGCTCAAATTCGCATCAATCCCGAAGCCATTCAAGTGGACCAAAGATGCCTGCTCTGGACTTGGTACCACAGAAAAATTCAAGTCAGCCCAGAACACCGCTCAATTCAAAGAAAAAGTTGATTCTCTTCTTCAAACTGATATTTCCTCCCCTGACGACATTCGCAGTTTCAATGAAATTGTGATTGCCACCTTTACTAACCTGGCAAGTCAAGTTACCACCCAGAAAAGTGGAAAGCCCAGTACTAACAAAAACAAATGGTTTGATTGGAGTTGTAGGCTTGCTAAACGACTAGTCTGTAGAGACGAAAGAGCCAAGAATAACACCCACATCGATCCTATGCTCGTGGAATCCAACCGAGCAAGATTTTACCTCCGTAAGAAAGAATACAGGGCACAAACACGAGCTAGAAAGGGAGCTTACCTATACAAACTTAACGAGAAAATCAACCACAGCAACAACATCAACTGGGCTGCTTTGAAAGACCTCTCGTCCGCTTGTAAGGACCCTGATACATTCGACATATATGACCTGGTCGCATTTCACAAGTTCTTCAACGACCTATACAATCAGAAGTGCAAGGACTCCTCGCACGGTGGACTACAAACCAGTGGCGTAACGTTGCCTGTTGGCGCCCCCCTGCCGAAAAAAGCGCCCCCCTGTTGGCGCCCCTCCCCTTTTGGTGCCCCTCCCTAAAATTGAACAAATTAGGTGATTTTAGAGAATACGCCGGTAAAATCTCTAAAAAAGTGTGTATCTAGAGCAAAACGCGCAGTTTTGCTAGTACTTTAGTTAAGTTTTCGAAATTGTCCCACATTCAAACGACGATTTGGCGCCCCCCTAAGACGGCGCCCCCCTGCACAGCGGGGTCAGCAGGGCCTTTCGTTACGCCACTGCTACAAACGAACACTTCGACCAACGAAGCTGGTGAACAGGGAACCGAGTACCACCCCGAGCCATCAGTCGAACTTGAAAAACTCAACACAGAGTGTACTATCCAAGAACTTGAGAAAGTCACCAATAAGCTCCAGAATAACAAAAGCGTTTCATGTGATCTTATCTCCAACGAGATGCTCAAGAGCTCCAAACTCGGTCTCCAAAAAGTCCTTCTGAAACTATTCAATGGTTGCCTAACGCAAGGAATCTACCCCTGGAACTGCTCAATAACTACCCCCCTACACAAAAAGGGGGACAAGCAGAACCCCGATAACTATAGAGCAATCACAGTCGGAAGTTGCCTTGGAAAACTCTTTGCATCCCTCCTCCTTGATAGGCTGATCGAATTCCGTAAAGTCGTCTGTCCCGACTTCCCTCACCAACTCGGATTCAGAGCTGGTGCCCAGTGCTCTGACCATATCCTGACCCTTACAACGATCATCGAGAAGTATACAAAGAAGCTGAAGAAGAAAATATTCGCTTGTTTCGTGGACTATCGTAAGGCGTTCGACACAGTCTGCAGGGAGGCTCTCATGTACAAACTCAGTAGACTTGGTATCGGAGGAAGCTTCTTCTCTTGCCTCCAGAACATGTACAACAACTGAGTTACCCGTATCAAACTGAGCAAGAAGCTGTCGGACACCATCGATGTCACCATTGGTACCGAACAGGGGCATCCAATGTCTCCGGAGCTCTTCAAGGTATACATTTATGACCTCTCCATTAGACTAACAGCTCTTGAGGACTTGTCAATTCCAGAACTGAACGGCTTCTCGGTCAGCCATCTCCTGTGGGCAGACGACCTGATACTTTTGGCACTCGACGCCAAAAGCCTGCAGAATCAACTTGATTGCCTGCACGAATTTGCAAATAAATGGGAACTGTCAATTAACATCGACAAAACCAAAATCATGGTATTCAACTCGAGCTCTCGTTTGCTGAAATGCTCCTACGGGTTCAAACTCGGCAACCTGGACATCTCATCGGCCAAATCTTACTGCTATCTAGGCATTCAATTCAGTCTCAACGGTTCATTTAAAGGTGCGATGAACGAACTGAGGAAGAAAGCACTAAGAGCATTTTTCTCGATCAGACGCATGGTCGACACTCGAGCATTAACAACAAAAACCATGCTCAAGCTTATAGACAGCCTCGTTAAACCAGTCGCTACGTATGCCTGTCAGATATGGCTACCGTGTACAAAAATGGCAAAGGAGATGGCTTGCACTGATGGTTCAAGACAGAACCTTGCCAGAGCTGCAACAAAGGACGCACTTGAGACAACACACCTGAAAATGCTGAAGTGGGTGCTCGGCTTACACAAGAAAGCTAACAACAACTTCTGTTACGGAGATACGGGCAGGTTACCATGGGCCCTGTCGGTACTACCACAATGCCTGAGATACTTCGACAGATTGTCTCAGACATCACCCGACGTGAGCAGCGTCAACTTTCTTGTACATCAGACATTTCAAGAGCAGAAGAATCTAAACCTCTCTTGGTATAAGACCTGGAACTCGATCGCTCAGTCTGAATCCAAAGCGACCAAATTCGTTCGATCCGACCAACGCAGAGCAGAAGGAACGACCTCAACTGCACATGGAAATTTGGTCGATCACTTTGTAAAAGATTGGAGAACAGATTTAGCATCCCAAAAGAAAATGCAATTTTACTGCACTATCAAACAGGTATTCGGAGAGGAGCAGTATCTCAATCTAAAGAATAGTCAATGTCGCATGCACATAGCAAAAATCCGCTCCAGTAGCCATGACCTTCTTATTGAGATACACAAAAGAAACTGGAACGTGGACAAGAGCCTGCAGATTCTGCTGCAACAAGGAGAACGTTCAAGGCTTAGAATATCTCCCCTTTTTCGAAGGAACAATCATTGAAAATGAAGAACACTGCCTCACTGAATGTCCAATGTACTACTCAGCGAGACTTTCACTGTCGGACAACCTTAAGAGTCTTTTGCTGCTCAAGGAATACGGAGCTATCATGAATTCTGCCCATGTGCAAGAACTGGGCAAATTCCTTTGCAACTGTCACCGCATCAGGAACCCGAAAAAGACGCCAATACTGCCTGTCACCCCATCAGGACTACCAACTCAACATACATAATACAGATCATCATTATGCAGATTTCACGATCTGTTGTACGAGCACGGAACACTAGTGTTTACTGTTTCCAGTACGTTCGATTATGAATGTGTCTTTTGAGGACTCGAATACTGATATCGCTGTTTAGTGATCATTGAAGTTGCCTTTTACTACTTCCTCTAATGTTAAATTATTATTTCAGCATTTATTTCTATTTCGGTTGGTTGTACGGGAGTTAAATTTTAAGTGCTTGTGTTTTAAATTTTCATGACTCTTGAAATTCGAATTTTATTTACTCTAGTTATGTTATTCATTCATGTATAGTCGAGACGATGGTGTTAGTGCCATCTCCGACAACTTTACGTTTAATTCCGTTTAATTCCGTTTAATTCCATTTACACTCACGGCTATGACTATATTCATAACTTTGGTTGTGATTAATATTTTTCGATGCGGTAGAAAGTATCATTTATGGAATCTGAATACTTACAACTTTGTTGTCATTGTCAAATAAAATTCATCATTTGTACAGTATAACAGAGCTATATGATGAAGAGAAATTAAAAAATAACTGATTTTTTAAATTTCCTCGAACAAAGCTTTCGACTAGCGAGTTTGTAGGCATTTACAGTAATCACAGTGCTGGCAAGCACGACCGTTGCATTTATTGTGGGTATACTATGTTCCCCATTTACTATTATACCCCCTTTACTATTATACCCCCTTTACTATTATACCCCTTTTACTATTATACCCCCTTTGGTACACGTTACAAGCCTCTTTTGTGCACGCGAAGCGTGCACTCCGGCCGGAGGCGGCGGCCGAAGGCCGCCGCCTCCGGCAGGAGTTTTCCAGGCATTAAGACTCATCGGAAGTCGTTCAGCAGATTTATTTTTAGTTCAAAACATTCTAATTTGATGTCAAAGATGACAGGAATAAAAAATAGTTATGTTGAGATTTTTAAGAAATTTGCATAAAATACTCGCCAGCACTGTTATACGAAATTCGGTAAAAAACCCAAAATCGCCATATTCAGGTGCCCTAAAAACCATGTTAAAATTGAGTTAGAAATCTGAAATTTTTCAGGGCGTCTATACGTTGACCAAATTGACTGCAAAAAAAGTTTCAGGTTTCAGGAGCATCGGGAAATGGGTTTTCTAGAACCCCTGTTTTACGACAGATTGTCGGGACATATACATCACAGTGCTGGCAAGCACGACCGGTGCATTTATTGTGGGTATACTATGTACCCCCTTTACTATTATACCCCCTTTACTATTATACCCCATTTGGTACACGTTACAAGCCTCTTTCGTGCACGCGAAGCGTGCACTCCGGCCGGAGGCGGCGGCCTTCGGCCGCCGCCTCCGGCAGGAGTTTTTCAGGCATTAAGACTCATCGGAAGTCGTTCAGCAGATTTATTTTTAGTTCAAAACATTCTAATTTGATGTCAAAGATGACAGGAATAAAAAATAGTTATGTTGAGATTTTTAAGAAATTTGCATAAAATACTCGCCAGCACTGTTATACGAAATTCGGTAAAAAACCCAAAATCGCCATATTCAGGTGCCTTAAAAACCATGTTAAAATCGAGTTAGAGATCTGAAATTTTTCAGGGCGTCTAGACGTTGACCAAATCGACTGCAAAAAAAGTTTCAGGTTTCAGGAACATCGGGAAGTGGGTTTTCTAGAACCCCTGTTTTACGACAGATTGTCGTGATATCTATCTATATATATACATATATATATATATATTCAGGGATAGACGCTTTGCCAGTCAATTGTAGCCTGTATTTAATTGTCCATAGATTCAAAAGTATAAAAGATACAGCCATTTCCGACCACAGGTCTTGAAAATAATTGTTTACACTTTAGTTTACATTGTATAAACAAATTATTTGACGTCATGAACACCCCTTGATGACGTCATCAAGTTAACCGTTTTTAAAACTTGATTTTTGACAAAGTAATAACTTTTAAAAATGATTTTACACCATTAAAAAGTAATTGTATTCAAAATCTGAGGAAATTTTCATCTTAGATAATTGTTCAAGCATTCTGAAAATCTACCGGAAAGTTTTTCTAGCTTGCTCCTTCATAAAGATATTCGTCATTGAAGTTTGTGCTTTTTTGAAGAATTATTTTATAAAAACGTCAATTTTGCGATTTAGTATTCTCTGGTGTTGGGCCATGCCTTGGTTTGTGGAGCTCAGTTCTGCTTCCTATAGGTATAAATTGTGCATTAGGCTAGTTTTAAAGTTAAAAATCAAAAAGTTGCACACGTGGGGACACGCCCAAATTGATAAAAAATTGCTAAAATCACTGAAAATTGCTGTTTTCGTCATTTTCTGTCAACTTTAGAGTGCCGTTGTGATTACAGTTCTTCTTGAAATACTTTGAAACTTTGCGTGCTTATCAAGCTTTATATAAAACAATTACATGCAAAAATTTACGGCGATTCAATATTGGATGCGCACGCAACGTCCGCTCAAAGTTTGCACGTGCGAAAGGTGAGAATTTTGCTCATTCGTGATTTCCAACAAATTCTGCTTTGCCACGACAGTTTAATGTCATTATAAATGAATTTAATGCCAACTTGAATGAGTATTAAGTGGCATATTCAGTCAGTGATCGACCGATATGCTTACCTAAACACAAGGAAATGTTTTTAAAGGAAAAATTTCGAAATTGTTGAAACTTCCTCCTTATTAATGAAGATATCAGTTTATATTTCGACTTTATAAAGTACCCTGACATTATAATCAAAAAGAGATGATATTTGACCAAAACCCATAATCATGGGTAGAGTGGACCGCTGCCAGTGTCTCTCTTTCCCAAACAAAAGGAAATGATATTAATTTGATTGACCGTTTTCAAATGCAAAATGATACCGAGAATGAAATCGGTCGCTCGCTTTTCCCATTCATTTACAATTGTAATAGATTAAGAAGAACTACCCAAAGGCAGCTGTACTCGGCAATAAAGATTCAACAAACTTCAGCTAATTCAATAAGTAATAACTACCACCCTTACCCCGAAATACTAGGTATCGACCCGAACGCAACCCGAAGAGATTTTTACAGCATCTGATTGATGTAATCAATCGAAACTTATTACAATTCGTAAGCCGTGAATGAATGGGAAAAGCGAGCGACCGATTTCATTCTCGGTATCATTTTGCATTTGAAAACGGTCAATCAAATTAATATCATTTCCTTTTGTTTGGGAAAGAGAGACACTGGCAGCGGTCCACTCTACCCATGATTATGGGTTTTGGTCAAATACAGATATACAGATATATATATTCAGGGATAGACGCTTTGCCAGTCAATTGTAGCTTGTATTTAAGTGTCCATAGATTCAAAAGTATAAAAGATACAGCCATTTCCGACCACAGGTCTTGCAAATAATTGTTTACACTTTAGTTTACATTGTATACAAAATTTATTTGACGTCATAAACACCCCTTGATGACGTCATCAAGTTAACCGTTTTTAAAACTTGATTTTTGACAAAGCAATAACTTTTAAAATTAATTTTAACCCATTAAGGTGTAATTTTATTCAAAATCTGAGGAAATTTTCATCTTAGATAATTGTTCAAGCATTCTGAAAATCTACCGGAAAGTTTTTCTAGCTTGCTCCTTCATAAAGATATTCGTCATTGAAGTTTGTGCTTTTTTGAAGAATTATTTTATAAAAACGTCAATTTTGCGATTTAGTATTCTTTGGTGTTGGGCCATGCCTTGGGTTGTGGAGCTCAGTTCTGCTTCCTATAGGTATAAATTGTGCATTAGGCTAGTTTTAAAGTTGAAAATCAAAAAGTTGCACACGTGGGGACACGCCCAAATTGATAGAAAATTGCTAAAATCACTGAAAATTGCTGTTTTCGTCATTTTCTGTCAACTTTAGAGTGCCGTTGTGATTACAGTTCTTCTTGAAATACTTTGAAACTTTGCATGCTTATCAAGCTATATATAAAACAATTACATGCAAAAATTTACGGCAATTCAATATTGGATGCGCATGCAACGTCCGCTCAAAGTTTGCACGTGCGAAAGGTGAGAATTTGCTCATTCGTGATTTCCAACAAATTCTGCTTTGCCACGACAGTTTAATGTCATTATACATGAATTTAATGTCAACTTGAATGAGTATTAAGTGGTATATTCAGTCAGTGATGGACCGATATGCTTACCTAAACACAAGGAAATGTTTTTAAAGGAAAAATTTCGAAATCGTTGAAACTTCCTCCTTATTATAATGAAGATATCAGTTTATATTTCGACTTTATAAAGTACCCTGACATTATAATCAAAAAGAGATGATATTTGACCAAAACCCATAATCATGGGTAGAGTGGACCGCTGCCAGTGTCTCTCTTTCCCAAACAAAAGGAAATGATATTAATTTGACTGACCGTTCTCAAATGCAAAATGATACCGAGAATGAAATCGGTCGCTCGCTTTTCCCATTCATTTACAATTGTAATAGATTAAGAAGAACTACCCAAAGGCAGCTGTACTCGGCAATAAAGATTCAATAAACTTCAGCTAATTCAATAAGTGATAACTACCACCCTTACCCCGAAATACTAGGTATCGACCCGAACGCAACCCAAAGAGATTTTTACAGCATCTGATTGACATGTAATCAATCGAAAATTATTACAATTCGTAAGCCGTGAATGAATGGGAAAAGCGAGCGACCGATTTCATTCTCGGTATCATTTTGCATTTGAGAACGGTCAGTCAAATTAATATCATTTCCTTTTGTTTGGGAAAGAGAGACACTGGCAGCGGTCCACTCTACCCATGATTATGGGTTTTGGTAAAATGAATTATAACAATAAAGCGAATCAGCTTCAACTTGGAAACATTTTCTCTCCTTGTTATATGTGTCATTGAAACTCGAGTCGTTAGCCAAAAAAGGAGCATAAATCATAATTTATATAGACTTGCTGAAAATTATATAAAAAACGCATCCTATTTGCTTATGGGAAAATATGGTTTTCCATTTTCGACTAATGACCGCTTTTAGATTTTTTGGAGAAATAGTAAACTATCGTAAGTTGGAAAAAAGGTAATTATCATGATAATGACTAACAGATAACTCAGAGACTTGCAAACCCTTTTGTAAGGTTGTAGATTTATTGAATCTAGTCGAGAACAGAATCGAACGAATTGTCACGTCCACATTCGGATATTGGCAGTACGGTGCGAGTAACTTCGGAGGATGATACGTCGAAAATGTTCCAATGGGATGGGGGGTATACAATGGAACCAAATAAAACCGCGCCGTTCTAGTTGTAAGCATCAAAAGGTTTTATGTTAGACGCATTATATAAATAGCAGGCTTTAAACGAAGGACTCTCAACAGGGACTAAGTTGACTAAGTTACAGACACCTGATCTCTACAAAACATTTCTAGTGGAGCGCAGCTTTGCCTTTTGTCTGTTGTTGGCGCGAAGGTCATTATTCTGTTAAAGCAAAAGTTGTGGATTATTTCAGATCGTGGCGTGGTCATGTTTTGTCAATCCGAATGATTTGTTCATGAGGTTGTTAGCAGCGGTTTGACCGTTTCGTAACGAGTCTATGGACAATAGGGCGGAAAGCTGCATATTCACAAAGAAACTCGCGTCAAGACAGGCAAAGACCGCTTGGTTGACGCTCAACACTTGGGTCTTGCTATTGACTTGTCTCTCTAAAGATTGATGTGACCAGTATTGAGTATAAACCACGTAGCATTATGCCCGTGTGTCCCTTCGTCTAAAACAAATATTAACGGGTAATACCTGTTCAATATTTGTTTGGAATATTATACTCGTCGTTGAGTTGCCAAGCACCTCGGAGGGGGCGTCGCAGTAGGTTTTAGACTTACAAAGACTAAGATAGCTTTACCTCTTTAAGTGGTGTCACAGAGCTGCAATGTGAGGTATCTCCCATCTGAGCATCTGTATTTTGGGTACAACTTCATACGAGCTATTTATAGATAAAGCAAAGCTTAATAAATGAAAAAAGTGTTCGAGGTATATTGCCTTTTTACCCCTTACAGGTTAACGATGAGGAGACAGGGACTTCCAGGGACGGGGAAAATTTTAATTATTGCAGTAATATTCCAAGAAGATGGACTTATAGTTATAGTTACAGACAACTGAATGGATGAACTGCATTTGTATGGCGCAGGTTTTTGGTAAAGGTCATCATTCTGTGAAAGCAAGGGTTGTAGATTATTTTAGTTCGTAGGTTCACGCTTTGAAACCAGCGACCAGCGACCAGCAACCAGCGACCAGCGACCAGCGATTTCGGATGACAGGAGTTCTTTTACCTGGGGACCTCAGGCTATCATGTTCATAAATAGAGATTCGGCGGAATGACAGGCTGAGCACCGCCCAGTAAGAGTTCTTGTGAAGTGTGATATCCTTCTGCTGTGGTTTACGGTACAGTCGACTAGGGGTCCACTCTAAGAATTTATAAAAAATGCAATGAATCTAACTACAAAATAAAAGAACAAAATAACAGGCAAACTGTTCATTATTATCTATATCTGCTATATAGGCGACAATGATAATGATTAAAAGATTCACGAAATTAAGCCATTTAATCTGAATTCTATGTTTCTGACTTTTGGGGTAAAATTATTTGAGGATTTGTAAAAAGTCTTATAATGCTTCAAATAATGAAATGAGTTCCATCTTAATAAGTTGATATAACCAAGTCAACCAAAGCGTTCAGGTCTAGTTGAAGAGCACTGTCGGAGTCATATGTTTCCGTGATATCGACCGTGTTTAAGCGCTGAAAAACATGACAATTAACCAATTAATTTTAATGAACTAAATTAACTGTCATATTAATACAGTTTTGCGTTTCATTGATAGACGGAAATCTACAAGATTGAAACGTAAAATCTGAAGGTTGAAACTTACATTATAAACGCAGGATAGCAAAGGCCAGAGGAAGAGCGGGGATGGACATGCCAAGGGAGCTACTTATTTCTTCGCCCTCAGCTTCCTCCTCTCCTTCAGTTTCGTCAGCTCCTTAAATTGATTATGATCATTAAATTGCATGTTAATGCATGTATCAAAATTAATTTGTTGAAAGGATCCGTGCGGTGCGTGTAACTGTCATGTAATACTATAAGCTTATAAGGGGAGGAAGCGCTCATTGCGGTCTGTTTGGACTGCAGAGAGAGAGTTCATACGACAATGTAATGCATGTTTTCAAATATAATAAGCGGGTGTGGTGCGGAATTAATAAGGGTTAATTTCTAAAACGATTTAAATAAAAATGGAAATCGGTTCAAGACGGGAGTGATGAGGTGTAATAGTCGTTGTACAGGGTGTACGGACCTTATGATCATGGAATGTGGTGCCTAATAATGACTTAATTATCCACGAGAAAGAACTGATTATGCGATTATGTTAAATACTCTTGGATACGTGAGGGCACTCCGAATAGAATTGCTCAGCTAATAATATAATATAATGCGGGTTTTGACTCAGCGGGTAAATACTCCTACCCTTTTTAACTGCGGCTGGCGGCAGTGAAATCCCGGCCGAAGGCCGGGTTACACTAGTAATTTAACTACTTAACTGACATCTTGGAGAAGCTTATGTCTCCTCTGACCGATCACGAGTATGGATGGGGTACAAGGGAGATCGATCAGAGTAAAAGAGATGAAACCATTTTAGTAACACCGCTGATGCTGTGGCACATTAATTGTTGAACGATATAACGATTAATTAGTCATGAATTAATCGGGCTATTATATAAAAGACGTCACTCTGAGCGGAATCAGCCAGGCCGTTGTACTGCCGTTTAATTTCGTTCAGTGACCAGGGGTTGTTGATCCAACCTGTGGTGCGATGGTTTGTTTATTTATACAGAGTATGGAAGGCTTCAGGATAATGAATAGGACTGTAACTATCCTTTTCACTATCCTTACGACTCGACTTACTCGACTTAGGGCGGCTTCGACGTCCGAACAGAGATAGTTTTTTTTCAAATCTGTCTATCCAGCATGAGTTTGTTTATCTCCTTGCTGTCGTCAAGCCCCGTGTCCCTCCGAAGGATGTCAATATATGTGAGGTGTGGTCTTCCCCTTCGACGATGTCCTTGAAGGGGTTCCCAGAAGAGAAGTTGATGACTTCCCTATCAGAGATAAGATCGCAAGATTCAGTTCTCTAGTTAGCGATTGAAAAACTGCTCAGTCTTGTTTAAACAAACCAGTTTAACAATTTAGTTAAGCACAATACTAAGTCGAGAGATATTATGTGTAAATAGTTATTAGCTATTGCATCGTACAAATTTGGATATTCTACCGTTTATTCCATTTATCTGGATCTCTTTTTATCTGTTATCTAATCTATGTGACGGTATATGTTCTATTATTCAAGTAAATTCATTTTACGTTTAACGTCACGGCAAACATTTTTGGTAAAAATTATATTTTTTGAAATGTTTAAAAATTTATTTAAGTGAAGTAACTGCACCCACACGCAACCTTTCAAATTTCGGAGCTGAGTGTATAGACATTATAGACACACACCACATCATATGATCTCAGCTATAATGTTATGAGTATTTATGATTTAATTTGAAGATCAAAATGCTTACCACTGCATGTAGGTATATCACATAATTCCAACACAGGATCAGTTCCCTCACCATTTAAACACCAGATGCCTCGAATATTCACACTGATCAGGAAAAAAACATGTTATAATGAAGAATTTCTAAAAGTAAAAAGAAATTACACAGATCATTTACATTCCAAAGCCCCTAATTCATTGCAGTTTTATTGTAGATTTTACTTAAATCTACAATAAATGTTTGTGCCCCTTATACCATGTGCTCGACAGTCGACTTGATAACAATTATTATGGAACACTACCAGATATCAGATATTGAAGACTTACCCGCCTGGATTTCTGCAATAGTTCTCTTGCAGTCCTGAATCAGGGTGACTGAAAATGTTTTTGTAATAAGCTAATTTCCTAAATAAAAGTAGGTAGTGTTGTGAATCGTAACTAACAATTTGGCTTCTGTCGAGAGCCCTTTTAGAGACATTTCGAAGTTTGGGTGTAAAATTATTTAGGACGCTCGATTAAATAGAGTACATGTCTCATCTTCCAAAATCCGAATAATCTGGATAAGAATAAATCCAAATCTGGATTATGCCGTATTGTGGCCGCCTGTGGGCGAGACTAGCTAATACCTGTTGTGCCTTAGAACTTGAAGAAGCACCAAGAAAACTTACCGCTCAGGAGTTCTTCTGTGTACATTAGGTGATTGAGAGTCCCATCTCTGGCAGACGAGTCCTGATTTTGTGACAGATACAGTTCCCCTGTATTCTGATCCATACTTATCCGCTTTATCAACACACTCGTCTGGAGCTGGAGTTAATCCATTTGTTATTCCTTTAGAAACGTTAATAATGAATAAAAGTCGTATATGATTTACAAAGGCTGTAAGACCTCTGGAGTTGATGCAAACATTAAAAAAAGACATATTTTCCAATATCTGGCATTCTGGCTCATTGTTTATACAAAGTGGAAATCATACGATGTCAAGTTTAGAAATAATCATTAAGGTATTCTACCCTAAGGCTAAACTTAAGTTTTAATTATATGCAAACAAATATTTTAACGTCATTATCATCACTCGATGGACGATGACGTCATCAAGTTAAGCGTTTTTAAAGCTTGATTTTTGACAAAGTAACAACTTTTAAATCAAAGTCGATTAAAATCACGCATTTCGTGATTTAGTATTCTCTGCTGTTGGGTCATCCTTTGGGATGTGGAGGTAAGTCTGGTTTCTATACTTAGGGGTCGTTCACATATCAAGACCCAACCCCCCCCCCCCCCCCCCTTCTGACAGTAATATTACGTAATCATGGCCTGACCCCCCCCCCCCCCCCCCCCCCCCCTTTTGACTTTTCCCCCTTTTTTCCCTGGAAACACTTTTCCTTACGTTTGATGCTACCCTGATCATAATGTGCCGAAAGTATTGTTATGATATCCGGCCAAGCACCTTTCAAAATAGTCGGAAATCCGATAAATTTTAAATTTTATCACTATCAGAATGAAACCAAACACCCCCAATTGTTGTAAACCAAATTTATTGAGACTGAATTTTTCGGCGACTAATTTAAAAGCAGACCAAAATTTTAGTAGAGCATATGATTATCAATATGACATGAAATTGAATATTATTGAGCTTACATTGTTTATAATTAATATAATGACATCACTGTTCCTACTGCTGAAATACTTTGACTATTACACGTGTAATCCACTGCTACGCTTTCACATTCTCTTACTTCCCTTTCCCATCAGGAAGTATCTGCATCTAGTTTAACTCATTGAAGTAATTATTATTATTACGACCCCTTATTATACAATTTATCATGCCATAAGTATCACATTATGGCATGATCACTCTCTCGATCTTCGGCTTCCTCGTTCACATCTTCGGAGTTATTATTTACCTCCACATCTTGTAAAGTTTACACTGAAATGCAGGACCGAGGTGGTCGAATACAAAATTGTTTTTAAAAAGCAGGTATTACTGATATGATGCTTAAAGCATGGAATATTTAATGCACGATAACCCATTTGAGGAAGATCACCTGTGATATGTTCATCAAATCTGGTCATATTCCGTATCTGTTGTTTTTACACAACTTTCATTATCGTAGACACTGATCTAGAAATATTTTGACATTTTTACTGCTTTGAGTGCTTAACGACTGCCTTTCTTGCTTATTGTACGAAAAATTAATTTATAAATTATCTGCTAAAGTTTTAAAAAAGCAAAAAAAAGATGAAAAATATTGGATTTTTGATGGTTCGAGCGTTCATTTTAATGTCCGTTCATAATTATGTCTGTTCATTTAATGTCCGGTCAAATAAGGTCCGATAAGGTATTCGTATATCAAGATTTAAAGTGGGTGGTTAGAATTAGCTGGTTAGCTTTAGAGGTCCAATAACGCTAAATTTGATCGATGATTTTACGGAATTTCGATCTTTATGGAAGTCATTTTTGAAGAAAAAAATGTTGTCATTATCGGTTTATCGGTTAGAAATTATCGCCGATAACTGATAATAACTTTCTTTTTACAAATTATCGCCGATAATATCGGTTGCAAACCCTAGTATGAGTGATGTGAGTGGAATGGTTAAAGTGTTTCTTCTTGTACCGACCCATGTGAGTTATCTTAAAGCATCAATCTATTACAAGTAATAAACTTTTGAGGGGTCCCGGACCCCAACCGCCAAACGGTACCCGCGGGGCAGCCACGCCCATATTTGGTCTAAATTAGGCCCAATTTAACCAAATACCCTAAACATGCCCAAAACCCAGATTTTAGTTGCTCTACTTGTAGCTAGTGATCCCCTGAACCCGTGTATGAAATTTTATAAATATTGGACAAAAAATAACTGAGTTATGAGCCTAAAACTATATATGCACATTTTGGGCATACGCACCAAATTTGATCGATTTTGGCCTATAAATTGATCAAATATCAATAATTTTTAATGAAACCAACCGACGTAAAGATCCGGTGACCGACAACTGGGAACCTCTCATTCCTGGCTCCCACAGGTATCACATCACATGGCCCAATCAGTGACGTATCATTTGTGATGTGATCCGCTTCTAGAATTTAGCCTTTGAGGGGGGGGGTTCACCCTGATTTTTTGTGAAACTTGGTTTCGAGATAGTAGTTGACCAACAAACTAGGACCAGTGACCGAACTTTTGAGGGGTCCCGGACCCCAACCGCCAAACGGTACCCGCGGGGCAGCCACGCCCATATTTGGTCCAAATTAGGCCCAAATTAACCAAATACCCTAAACATGCCCAAAACCCAGATTTTAGTTGCTCTACTTGTAGCTAGTGATCCCCTGAACCCGTGTATGAAATTTTATAAATATTGGACAAAAAATAACTGAGTTATGAGCCTAAAACTATATATGCACATTTTGGGCATACGCACCAAATTTGATCGATTTTGGCCTATAAATTGCTAAATTGATCAAATATCAATATTTTGAGTAATATAACTGCCCTGTGGCACCCCTGTGTTTAACAGGAAGCAGTTTACTTACATTACCACGTATTTGGTGCACTGTTTTTCCTGCCTCCAAGGTAGCTTTAAAACCACTTAATGACAAAGCCATCCACGCCATAATACTTAAGTTTTTCTCAATAGAATATTATGGCTTAGTGTGTCAAAAGCCCTTTTTATGTCCAAGAATGCATTCGCAGGTTTCTTCGACGATTCCTTAGACATAAAATATTTTGTCAAATAGATTAAGCATAAGGAAAGTGGTTGAATGGTCTTTCCTAAATCCATACTGATGGTTGGTTAGTAGTTTATTTGTTTCAACATAATGGGTAAGTTTTTGGTTAACAAAGTATTCTATACATCAGAGTATGTTATATCTAAGTTGAGTAAGTTGTAATTGACACTTTGGTTAATCAATATACCACATCCCCCTCTTCCCTTATCATGAGGTCTATCACACCTTAAAAAATCGAAGTTCAGAGGAAGTTTAGTGTACTAGTGTCTATATCAGATTTAACAGCATAAAAAACAGTTACTCACTTCTGTTTGTGATAAATATAGCTTGAGAGATATAAAAACGTTAATTAATTAGAAATTTGTGCTGATCTAACATTTATAAACCAGATGAAACAGTAATCTGTTATTATTCATGTTGATACCCTAAATACCCTTGGATTATAAAATTTTAGTGAAGTTTAAACGCAAGTTAGTTTAATAACCCAATAAGATACTCGATTTTATTTATGCGCCATTAATTTCGAATCTAATGAGTTATTAATCCTAGTCCTTTCTAAATTACATGTTTCTTAGGTTATAAATGGTAGTAAAGTGTATGGCGACACATTCTGGCGGTATTGGAATACTCCAACAGTTCTGATTGCTATATCCCTCTTGGGTGAGTTATTACACATGTAGGAAACAAGGATACTAAGGTGATAATAACCGTATTGAATACACAATAGCAATCTGGTTTAATCGTGTATTATTATTTAGTTTCATGATTTTTTCCTTTCATTGAAAGTTCTGACTAAATATTTGATAATTACTCGGACTCTAAAACGTGGAGTAAAACTTCTGATCCATTAGTCGCTCAAGTGATGTGCCCCAGAACCTCACGCCTGAGTGACAGTGGGCCTTATATAAAAGTCATAACAAAAATTCATAACAAATTAGTTCATATGACGACAAACTTTTATTTATAGTAAATACCGTGCAATCCTAAACCTACTACAAGTACTAAACATAATATACACAGTAAATGTACTATATAGTAAATATACTACACATGATTCATAAGCATGGAATGTTACAACGGTGTACAGGTGCATGATGGGGGGGGTCAACCTCATTTTACTCATTCGGGCAGCCAAAAAAGACAAAATTGGGATGAGGTGAAATGAGGTAAAATGATGTAAATTAATCTAGTTTTCTGAGCCTATTTTAGAGACAAAAAAGTTTTATTCGATGAAAAATTATTATTTATGAAAAGAAAATTGAACATTTCAATTTCCATGATCCATTAGGATATTGTTAATAGCACTTGCTAAGTTTTGTAAAGGAATCATTACAATTATCACACTTATTTCAAGATTACAAGATATCTCCGCTTCTGATTGGAGCTATAGGTTGTACTTGTTGAGTTATTAGGTCAAATCCCATTTTTACGCTCTCGTGAGTACGATTGATGCATTTATTTCAAGATTTATCAGCTTCTGATTAGAGCTAAGCGTTCATCTTGGGCATTGAAATGGTCAGAATCATCATATTGAGTTGGGTAGAGCATGGTTTCAAAGTCTTCAGACTTCAGGTTGTTGAGTTATTTGGTCAGATCCCATTTTTACGCTCTCGCGAGTAGCGATTGATGCACTTATTTCAAGATATCTCCGCTTCTGATTGGAGCTAAGCGCTCATCTTGGGCATTAAAATGGTCAGAATCATCATATTGATTTGGGTAGAGCATGGTTCAAAGTCTTCAAACTTCAGGTTGTTGAGTTATTAGGTCAGATCCCTTTTTACACTCCCCCGAATAGCGATTGATGCACTTATTTCAAGATATCTCAGCTTCTGAGTGGAGTTGTGGAGATAAGCGTTCATCATAGACATTAAAATATCAAATTAAGTAGAATCGAGCATGGTTTTAAAATCTTTAGACTTCAGGTTATTAAATTATTAGGTTAAACCCTATTTTTATGCTCTCGCAAGAATGGTTACTGCAATGTTGAAAATATTTATTGGATGAACTGTAATTAATCGCCAGGAAAAAGTTGTTTGCCAAGAAATATCAGTAAAATATCAGTAAAATTTCACTAAAACCTCTAGCACTAGGAACATGCTTTACCCCACTTAATATGACCATACTGACCATTTCAATGCCCATGATAAGCACTTAGCTTCAATCAGAAGCTGCGATATCTTGTAATAAGTGTGTCAATCGCTACTCGCAAGAGTGTAAAAATATGTTTTAACCTAATAATTCAAAAACCTGAAGTCTGAAGACTTTGAAACCACGCCCTACCCCACTCAATGTGATAATTCTGACCATTTCAATGCCCAAGATGAACGCTTAGCTCCAATCAGAAGCTGATATATCAGTAGCATCAATCGCTACTTCGCGAGAGCGTAAAAATGGGATCTGAACTAATAACTCAACAACCTGAAGTCTGAAGACTTTGAAACCATGCGGCATGCTCCACCCCACTCAATATGATGATTCTGACCATTTCAATGCTAAGATGAGCGTTACACTCCAATCAGAAGCTGAGATATCTTGAAATAAGTACATCAATTGCTACTCGCGAGAGCGTAAAAATGGGATCTGACCAAATAACTCAACAACCTGAAGTCTGAAGACTTTAAAACCATGCTCTACCCCACTCAATGTGATAATTCTGACCATAATAATGCTCAAGATGAGCGCTTAGCTCCAATCAGAAGCGGAGATATCTTGAAATAAGTGTGATAATTGTTACTCTCGAGACTGCTAGTATATAGTAAAATCGGATTTTTGGCGACTCAGACTTTTCCTGTTCTTTCTTGATTTTCTCCAACTCTTCAGCCAGTTTCACTACTTCAAGACTTGCAGCACCGTTGTTCTGATTAGTGCTGTTTTCTAGCGAAGTGTTGGTATCTGGTCGAGCCTGGTTGATTTCCTTAGTGTGACCTGGCGTTCCCATTCCAGACGGTGGTTCATCACACTCCCCAATGTTGTTGTTTTTGTTGACTGCTATATGCAGTCTGAGCATAACCATACCAAACCACTGAGTTGGGTTGGGAGACTTTCGTAAAGCTCCATTTGGGCTGTGAAGTTTTCACAGTCGTGAGCTCCATGAAGACAACTCCAACATCTGTATTTGGGCTGGAAGCCCGGCATCACTGTGTACTCTTCTGAACACTCGGAACAAACAGCAGGGTACAGAGAAATGATCTCTGACACAATCCGTTTAGCTAGTTTCTCTCGTGAGCTGAAAAGTTTCTTCTTTAATCCTCTGCTAACTAGAGGCAACTTAAGGTAATTTCCAAGAGCGTCTAGCTCGCCTCTGTTGACCTTGGCCAGTTTAGAGATTTTGACAGAAGAATCCAGGGAAGGATCAAATACAGTGAGTACTCGTTTCGAAATAGGGTCGGCATCCTTCAGCAGTCTCCCGATGACACTCTTTATCTTGTCACTCAGATTCTCGATGGTTGACATCGTGATGTGAGGTTGTAGTGTATAAAGAGGTATCAGAAGTTATCAGAAGCAATAGTAGTAGTAGTAGCGTCACACAACACAACAGTTACAGCACGGGTTACCTGGACTTGGGAGAAGATTTCACCTGGACAACCCGGCTGCTGAAATTGTTTCTTCAAGTGTTCCGCTGTTACCACAAGTCTGAAATGAGGAGTACAGCAGTAAATAGTTCAACTTTTGACTTTGAACTATAAAATAGAGAGCTGTATTGCCATATTAGGCACTTGGATGGATCTAGCACAAAGGGAGCTTCTCAACGGGAAACTAACTTGATCCTAAAGCTTGTGTTCAGTAGGGCACACGTATGATGTGGTCCCTGTGTTCACCGATAGCCTAATGTCAGGTGTACGTCTATCGGACTACCATAGTACACCTCAAATTATTTGTTATTTGTTATACAGTATTCAGATGAACTATTATTTTGTACAGTGCAGTGTTTGACTGAATTTATTGTGTTTTGGTTCACACACATGCCACACATAAAGTACACACACACACCTATTGCTTATTTGTTAGTATTAACTGCACATGACTACAGCCTTTATATATAATTGAGGGATGAAGTCCTTAGTTTATCCTGACCACAATTGCTTAGTTGTTGCAGCTCTTAGTACCCTAGCCACTTAGTACCCTAGCCACTTGATACCCTAGTACGAGCTTTGTTTTTGCATAATGTACTAGCATTGTTAGCATTTTAAACACGTTTTTGGAAATTTTTCAATCCTTTTCCAGGGATTTCCGATTTTTTGTACATTTATGTACATGGCCATAAGATTTTTGCCAATTGTACATGTACAAAAATGTAGTTGAACCCCCCCCCCCCCCCCCCCCCCCCCCCCCCTGTTGTTTAGCAACGCAAATTAAGGGTCTTTAGATAGTAGTGAAACAGCTGGTCCTTCTAGTTCGACAGTACCAATATGTTACCCTGGGTTTGTTCTTGGTGATCAGTGGTTCCTTCTCAGTTATATTTGCTGTCAGCATGTTTAGTTTGCTTTGCAAAGTTTGTTTCTTGTCTCTATCATGGACAACTTGGGTGTTTTCTTAGTGCTTCTACTTGTGAAGAAACCAAAGGTTCAATTCTTCTCCAATCAGTCTCCCCCTTTTGAATTAGTGAGATTAACTATAGAACGACTTAAAAGGAATCTAGCTGTTTATAACGCGCAAAAATTGTGAACGCGCCTTTGTGATGTGTTATTAGGAAGAAATTCGGATTTGGCGGGATAATCACAGACTCTGCATACAAAGTATTTCCCGCCCTAAAGAATATGCTAGAAGTTCTGGGTGAGTTTTCTACATGTTTGTCAGTCACGATTGTCTTTCTGCCGAACGGAAAAAAAAATGTAAGCAATTTTTGCGCTAGCGCCTAGCGACCACGCGCGCGCAATATAACCGAGCCGCGCATAATAATATGTAATTAATAATTTTAGCATATCCAAGCTTCCAAAATCGACCATAACTTGACTTCTGGTGATAAATTTGTTAATTCATTAATACCATTCTAGAGGTAATCGTTTAAACTTCAATTCAGTTTCAAAGTTTAGTCCGAAAGAAGGTCAATTTTGTCTAAAATCGCCACTAAAGAGACAAATTCGGATTTGTGTACAGAAAATAAACATTTTGGCAGAACTTTCAAAGTCTTCAGCATTCTCTCTGGTATTGAACTGTTCAATTTCTCAGGTTTATACAACCCCCGGAAGTACAGACAACAAAGCAGACATAATCTGGAATATCGATAACCTCTAAAGCTCTGAGAGGACCCTAAAATAAAAGCAACTCCTGGAGGCTGGCATTATCGAAGATTTTCACGAATTCCACGAAACTCACGCCAGCTGCTTCACACATTGAAAATGATGAGAGGCTGGTGGAATGAAGTGTAGTCAAACAGTATTTTTCAACAGTAAGTTTGGCAGTTTGAGATGCACTTATAGATTTTCTTTCCCTACTGCACTCGCCACTCAAGTCTCAAATTTGATTTTACTCAACCGTATTATTATTTAGTTCCTTTTATTAAAATCTGTTTCAGATGTGGACAGTAATGCCCACTGGACAACTAAGAAGTGCTCCTTCGTTACCCTCCTTCTCCAAACACTACATGTCAATAGTCCCAACAAAAAGTTATAAAACAAGCAGTCTTGACCTTCCTTTCCCACCGTGACAGGCAGAATTAATAGAGCTATCAAGTATTAGTAACTGCTAAAGAGGGATTGTCGTTGAGAGAGACACTTAAAGACCAATCCAGAGCTTTCTGCCTTCAGAATGTTCTTTTCGCAGCATACCAAGTTTTACACCAGATAGAAACAGAATCCTTAGCAAACTGGGCCCAGCCCAAAACGGACCAAATCAGACTGATAAAAACTGCTCATAATCATATCTGCAGCTATAGCAGCAATTTAAAATCTATGTAATAGCTGATATCGACGACTCCGAACTGAATACTAATCGATGCAGATGCAATACTGGTCACGTCTGTTACTTGTATTTAAAAATAATCAGAGACAGACAATGTTATTTCTATAAAATTCTAGTATAATGATGCTCTGCGTATTATACTTATAGTTATAGCTGCTTTGCCATTTCTAATTATGAATTTCATCCTAGAGTATAACTTTTAATATAATTAACTAATCAATATTAACCAAACACTAGAAAGTTTTTGTTGAAAACTTGTTTCAGTTAAAACAAAATTAAAGTCTAGACAGGGATTTGAACCCTCAGCTACCACAGCCAATCGCCTGCTTAGCGAACTAGGCTATCCTGCTGGAGGTCGAAAATCAATATTAACTACCATATTGTAGACCTTGCGCATTCCCTGCGCAAAGTTATTCTTCGACGGTGCAAATTTTTAGCCATTTTGGGGCGATTGCGCGGCACGAAAGCTTTAAACCTTCATAACTCTACCCAGGAACAGTCCCCAGAACTGATTAAGCTTGCGATGTCCGAGTTAGAGCATGTACTTTAAGAGGATGTAAGATTTATCACAGCTACGTCCACACAGTGGCATCGCAAACGGGTATAGTCGCGAACGCCAAGAAACCGCAGGGAAACTCTGTTAAATCTCCAGAATTCATGGTTAATGACCTATCACAACACTCCTCACACAGCAACGCAGTTCGAATGATAGGAATAGAAGGAGAATTCGATCAGCTCTTAGAGTTAGTCTACTTCACCCTTTCACGGACTCCAGACAGAGTATCATGTATCACTAGTAACCGTATAAGTCCATTTATGTAATAAAGCTCCAGCTGCAGATCGATCATCCAATCTGCTCACAGGAGCGAAGTTAAGCAGCCAATAAGGTGCGCGCATTTAAGTCACATGATGGGGAGATATACACTTACAGTCGGCACGCGCGGCTCACTGTTGATGGCGCACTACCTATTGTTTCGGCCTCAACAGTCATGACATGTATAAAGTGAACCCCATTTATAACACATCACTTTCATTTTCTGTTCCACATAGCCGTCACATAGTATTAGTACATAATTTCATTTTCACGTAATCATAAAACATAAAACCACACACAACGTAGATCACGTGACCATAAAAAAGTTGAAAAGTTTCTCTTTGCAGGGAAAACTGAGAAATGAGACAACTATATATAGCTTTTTATAGCTTAACAGCCGAGCACTTTAATAAAAGATCATGTGTGTAAACCATAGAAATAATTTCACAACTCCAAATTAATACCATTACCAATGCTAACGTTTTAAAACTTGTAAAACAGTAAAGGAAAATTGAGGTGCCCTGGGCATAATGTAACGCTGTCATATTAAATGAAGCAGTTATGCCGTTCAAGTTATTTATGCCCCATGGCAATGTCCCAGCTTTACTTTGATGAATTCCAAATTAAAAAGCGGGAAATAAACAAGTCAGAAATCGTGGCGTTTTTTGGAGGGTAGTTTAATTTTTTCCTTTTCACCATAAGAATATCATCCCGATATTGAACGTACGGGTACATACGGGTAACATGTCGATGCAAATAATGTTGGGATTTTATATGGCCATAATTTCGGAGACAAATTAAAACACACTCCATTTTTGCATATTAAGCTTTTTTAACATATACAAATTTTGGATCAATAATTGAGTCAATAAAAAATATAGGATATTTTAATGTCGCATTTAAAACTTTCACGGAATTCAGTCCACAGATCATAATGTAAATGAAGGGAATTCAGCACAAAAAATTGGTCAATATGATCAATACTATTTTTATTGTTTCCGTAAAAGTGAATTTTTCGTCTATCGAGTGTCCCATTGTGGCCTGGTCTCATAGCATGGTCTTTACTCTTTAGTCAACATTTCATCATCAACTAGATGATTATTTTTCCACGTGGATATTTATTTTTCCATTTTCATCCTCCCAATTACATCCTGAAGAGTTTTTTTATCCACAAATATGGTAGAAATTATTTGACTGTACTAAATACTAATGTATGTCATTCCATTTACGAACAAATCCTCAATAAGGTCAATAAAGTCATGGGAAACAATATGTGTTCCGAATGTACTGATCACACCGACAGTTGAACACATGTTACATTGCTAGTCCACACAATAGAGCGTTATTGCAAGAACTGTCATCGGGTGCAATGTACCTAAAATAATTATAACAATTCAGGTCGGCCATATCATACCAAGTTTATCCTATCCGCCTGTGTGATCATGTATACCAACCTGAAACAACGATATTGGAAAACTCAGTGAAACGTTGTGTTGATATTTTCGATTGCATGCAGGTATCTCTGGTTAATCCATCAAGACCTAAGATGAGAAGTACGAATGAGTCGGAATTTTAAATTTACTCGTATCGTACGTACTTTTGAATTCTACTGAAAAGTTAACCTTCTAGAAATCGATGAAAGAGTTCTAAATCGCATCGTACGGACTAATATTGAGCGTTTTCAAAAACTTGTGTTTCTATATTCCAATCGTCGATTAACTTAAAATTTAACTTTAAGAGAAACAAGCTCTTTAAATAAGTAAATTGTCTAATAATTTTGTAGAATTTTTGTTTTAATTTTAAATGCTTGCCTGACCTAAGAATTGTGTGTTTAATTTGTTCGCGAACGGTATATTTTCTCTAACGTCGGCAAACAATTACATTTTACAATGGCCCCGATGATAATAATTCAAAAACAAAAAAATTCTATCTGAATCGTACGTCGTATGAGTCGGACTTTTCAAAGTTGCGTACAAGTACGTACTTTTCCCCCTAAACGAGTCCGTACTTCTCATCTTAGATCAAGACACTCGCTGATATTTTCATCACTTTAATCACAGTCAAAAATTCCATTGCAAAGATGGTGCTCATGAACTTTGCATTTGAACAAACTGCTCAGATGATGCACATATTCAGTGTCTTTCCTTGTGAGTTCTTTTTAC